TGGCCTTGGCCTCAGGGCTGCAGGACACAGCTTACACACCGGCCCTCACCACTGCTGAGTCAAGACGGAGTCTCCCCCACTCCCTTCCCCACCCCGTTCCTACTAACTCACTCCCACTGGTAACGGAATAGAAAAGTTGCAAAACACTGATTTAGATAATTACATTTATACGATCTTCTTCATTTCCTTTCCTTTAACGTGTATGTATTTTTTAAACAAAATTTACTTACTAAAAACTCCTTCACAGTACAAAAAGCTACTTTATTTGGACAAAGTTGGCTCCATGCACAGAAAACTTGATATCCATTTCCAGCCGCCCCAACCTCAAGCACTTGGTAATGACAGCCAAAAGATGTGAAACTCTCACTGGAGAAATACATGGACCCTGTTTACAATTTTTATACATGGAACACAAACACAGACAAGCAGCTTCTGGAAATACCTGTAAATTACATGAAAGTAAAAATAGCATCATGCTTTAAAATGTTTCTCAAAAAATCATTTCAAACGACTAGGTTTTAAATAATTAGGCCACTTAATTTTTATTAGAGCAAGAGTCAGAAAATGATCGTAGACTATATCCTTTTACACAAAACACATCTGCAGGGCTTCTAAAAAGCTATATACAAAAGAAAAATTTTAGAATATCCTATTTTCAATGTCAGAGTAATTTGCTAATATTTCTAAGGGTTATGTTAGCTTTCATTTTTTTTTAAAGTTAAGACATACCTGGGGTCAATGAGGGTTGAGTGTAGGTTCATGTGGGATTGCAAATTTGGTCTATTCTTTTGAGGAATCTTGCTTTCAAAATCTTACTGACATGACCTCTTTCTCCATACGTGATTGGTTTTACTGGCGTCTAAAGGTCATACGTGGGTCTCTTGAACCACCTCCTCAACTCAGAACTCCAGAAGCCAGTGAGCTCCAGAGAGGCTTTCCCTTGCCTGAGCCATGCTGAGGTTCATTCCTGGCCTCAAGGGATATGGTGGTTAGAGGGAAGAGTGGACACCAACACCCCGCAGAGGGCCTGGCATGGAGCAGATACCCAGTGGAGACAACTGTCATGTGCACAACTAAAAGGCTACCTTTAAAATACAATGCTGGCCGGGCGCGGTGGCTCATGGCTGTGATCCCAGCACTTTGGGAGGCCAAGGTGGGCAGATCACTTGAGGTCAGGAGTTTGAGACCAGCCTGGCCAACATGGTGAAACCCCATCTCTACTAAAATTACAAAAAATTAGCCGGGCTTGCTGGCAGGCAGCTGTAGTCGCAGCTATTCGGGAGGCTGAGGCAAGAGAATCACTTGAACCTCGGAGGTGGAGATTGCAGTGAGCTGAGACTGTGCCACTGTACTCCAGTGTGGACAACAAAGCGAGACTTCATCTCCAAAAAAATAAATAGATACAATGCAGCAAAATGTTTACAGACAAACATTAGACAACCCAGACCCTTAAGCCCACATCTATTCTATTTCCCTACAAGAATCTGCAGGAAGCGAGACAGAAATGAACAGCAACAAGTAGACTCTACCATGAGGCAACTGAAAACCTCTCAACCCCAGAGCAAAACATGGCAATGGGAGAGAAGAAGACGGAACAAACTGTGATGCTTCTATCTAGACTTATGACAAAAGGGCTAAAATTGGGCAACATTTTAAAGGGCTAGAAAGGAACTGTACTGTGACTACTTGGCAAAGAATAGCAACATGGATGGACAGGGCTGTTTTTTGTTTGTTTGTTTGTTTGTTTTGAGATGGAGTCTCGTTCTGTAGCCCAGGCTGGAGGTGCAGTGGCATGATCTCGGCTCACTGCGAGCTCTGCCTCCCACGTCCCAGTTCAAGCAACTCTTCTACCTCAGCCTCCCAAGTAGCTGGGATTACAGGCATGAGCCACCGTGCCCAGGTAAGTTTTGTATTTTTTAGTAGAGACAGGGTTTCACCATGTTGGCCAGTCTGGTCTTAAACTCCTGACTGTCTGCCTCACCCCTCCAAAGTGCTGGCATTACAGGCGTGAGCCACCGCGCCCAGCTCAATTTTTTTTTTTTTTTTTTTTTTTAAGAGATGGTCTCACTCCATCACCTGGGATGAAGTGCAGTGACATGGTCAAAGCTCACTGCAGCCTCAAACTCCTGGGCTCAAGTGATCCTCCTGCCTCAGCCTCCCAAACAGCTGGGACTACAAGCACATGCCACCATGCCCAACTAATTTTTATTTTTTGTAGAGAGAGGGTCTTGCTATGTTGAGCAGGCTAGTCTTGAACTCCTGGCCTTGGGCAATCCTCCTGCCTTGGCCTCCCAAAGTGCTAGGATTACAAGTATGAGCCATCACACTCAGCCCTGATCAATTTTAGACTCTTCCGTGCTTGGTGTTATCCCCACATTTCTATCAACATCAGGGAGAAGGAGTGAGGACAGAGAACGCAGATCCGGGCATGGTCCCACTCGGGCTCCTCTCTCAGGAACACTCTCTCTGCAGATGCGAAACAGTGAGGCACACATTGCAAAAGACCAGACACAGTACTTCAAAAGCATGCACAAAACTCTTTCACATCTGAATACATGACACTGACTTTCAGGCCAAGCGGACAGACTCCAGCTCCCCTCCTGCTGCTGGGTTCATCTGCAACAGACAGGAATGTTTGCAAGGTGACAGCTTTATTTTTCTTACATAAAAGATCTGCTTTACAAGGTTATTTTATCTGGCTACAGGTCCAATGCATAAAAGACAGTGCCATCCTGTCTTATGTACAAAGAGCAACGCCGCCTGGATGCCTCCCGAAAGCGCGGCGGCGCCACTGTGATGGTGCTCTCCCATCTCTCCACTCAGTCCCAGTATTAGAGTTTCTTCAGGCTGCTTGAGTCTTCCACAATGCGCCTCCTGGGGAGGCTGTATTTTGCCAGAAAGTTCCAGTGAACGATGTAACAGGTGGAGGATCCCAGATCCCAAAACAGACACTGGAACCGCGCAAAGGTACCCTTGTGCTGAAACACATTTCTAATCCCATCATCAGGTGCATCTGTTCTGTTAAATGCCCAGTACACTTATAAACAAATTAATCCAATTCAGAAATAACCATACAATTGTCAAATCTGAAAGGAATAAGGAAGGAATTATCTGTGAATCTTGCCAATTTTCCTGAAAAGGTGCTGCAGATTTAAGTGTTACAAAACAACAGAATCCTAAATTTCTAGTCACTACTATAATTTGAAGTACACGTTATACCGTAAATGTGATACCCCAAGACATAAGAAAAAGTCACACTTAGGGAGAAAACCTTCATAACAGTTAGAAATGTTAGAAGAAATATGTTCATTTAAAAAACAGGACATTAGTACTCAACTTAACAAAATAAACCCACTAAGCCAGCAGGAGGCATCGCCTAGGAGGACTGAGGCTCAGCATGCCTTAGTGCCTTAGCCTCTGCTTCTATCACCTGTGCTTCTGGGGCAGCCCTTTGCAGCGAGTTTCAGTCCATTTCATTAGGAAGCTCTTCACTGGTGGCTGTCTGTTCTATGCGTGGAAAGGCAGTGAGTGACCTTCAAGACGTGACGCTCCATTCCAAGGCAACAGAGAACCAATCACGAATGGGCACGAGAACAGAGTCAGATGATGGGCCGAGGTACAATGAAGAGGATCATCTGAATCCAGGCTTCCTGACACGTGACCAAGGCCAGTCCATACACCCACAGAAACCAAACGAAGACATGTATCTGTGCAGTCTTCCCAGGAAAAAAATCCATAGATTTCTTCAGATTTTCCAAAGAGTTTGTCTGAAACTTCCAAAATAAAAAGAACCATTGTTTCAGGCTCATTTTCTCTGGGTGTTCCTACATATTTAGTGCACCTGAACTCATAAGGATGTGCTCATCCCTGGGTAAAGAGTCAGATTTCCGAATTCTCAGTGATATACTGGGCTGTGAAGTGCACGGAGCCAGAAGGTGCAGATTCCCCAAGAGACACATACTGAAACGCTTTTCTAGTACAACTGAGGCTAACACAAAATCTGAATAAAAAATGTAAGGCTTTACTTGGAATCTTATTTCCCTATGTCTAGACCTGTTCTATTTCTCAAGTTTCTAGGAAGCAATCATCAGACCCTGACTGTATTCATGCCATCATCTCCCCTATGTTCAGTTGTCCACATTATTTTCTAAAGTTATACAACATGGGCAAAAGACCTTTATTAATATTTTCTCTAATATCTAATATATTTATTTTTAGCTAAGTTAATCTTTGAGCCACACATCCATTCAGAACATACCAGAACAAAATCAAATTCATTGTTAGGAAATGTATCAATACTTCCAAAGAGCACATGCCACTAGCCTTAAGATACTGCAGCCCACTAGCATGAGCCGCCCAATCTCCAAACACCCACAGCTCCAGGCCATGTGTGTACCAGCTCATCCTTCCCAGGAAAGTCACTTCCTTCCCTGAGAGCACTTTAAGAGAGCTCTGGGCGAGTTTGTCCCCCAACCCCACCACCATTTTTTTATTCCTAGGCTCTGATGTCGTTCCCTCTTTGGTCTCTTTCATTTGTGCTCACAGTTTTCAGAATCTAAGATGGACTTTAAAATATTCATTCCAGTAGGGACCAAGTTTTCTCCTGCCTGGTTAATTCCCTCTGGGCATATCAAATGGCTGGGCCCAGTCAATACTGTGGCTAGAATTGGCTAAGACGAAACACCTCTATTGACGAAAGTAACACAGAATGAAAGCTTCTAAAAGCCAGCTAAATGAGAAAGCAACTAAACAGGCAATAGAGGTTCAGATTAAAATTTAACATGACTTTAAAAAACCTATTTAATGTGGGTTTTTTGTTTTTACTTTTGAGATGGGGTCTCGCTCTGTCACCCAGACTGGAGTACAGTGGCACAATCTCAGCTCACTGCAGCCTCAACCTCCTGGGTTCAGGCGATTCTCCTGCCTCAGACTCCTGAGTAGCTGGGGATTACAGGTAGCTGCCACCACGCTTGACTAATTTTTATATTTTTAGTAGAGACGGGGTTTCACTATGTTGGCCAGGCTGGTCTTGAACTCCTGACCTCAAGTGATCAGCCCGCCTCAACCTCCCCAAGTGTTGAGATTACAGGCGTGAGCCATCACGTCTGGTCTTAAAAAACCTACTTAATGTTTTCACTGTGACTTCTATTAAATACATATCAGCCAATTTCTCTTAAAACAAGCAAAGCAAAAAGAGGCCAAAGGTATTGAGGTAACCTTCTCAGCTTCCAAAAGCCGTCCACCACTAGAAACGTCATGAAAACTTCTGCTACACACTAGTTTCCGGAATACTGGACAATCCACCAACAATGAAACTTGCAGTAAACTAATACATGAACACTCCCCTGAGCGTCTACTCAGTCTCAGTAGTGCCTTGCCTTCTCTTCACCCTTTCCCCTGGATCCATTTCCAAGTTGCTCTGAATGTCATCTGAAAAATCAGTCTTCCCTGTTTTGGTCAATTATTTGACCATCACATGTATCTGCCCCAAAATGTTCCTCAAGTCTCTTAAGCCCACGAACAGGCAAGAAAAAAGATAACCACTCAAGGACTCTCTGACTCTCCTATCACATACAAGTTCTCATTCATTCCAATGGCCGAGAACACACTCATCTACATTCTGCAAGTAGTCCACAGTTTAAAATACCATGTTCAGGTACATGGAGTACACTCAACTTTCAATTTTTTTAAGAATAAATAACCTTTCCTGGAGATTAAAGTTTTTTTCCTTTTCTTCCCTTTCATTCACACTGCCTGCTTTTTGGCCACTAATTTTGCACTAACTCATTCACATAGTAACAGAAAGGGGTGGCTGTTGCGGGGGCAAACTGAACAGCTCCTTCTCCCTCCTCATTAGCACTTCTGTCCTACGTAATAATGTCTCATTTTGAAAGCTGGTAGCATTGTGCCACAAGTACATTTGGATATAATCTAGGTAGACTTGGCATATTCTAACACATTCCATTCTGAGACCAGTTCCAGGTTGGAATTTTGTCATTACTGCCTTAAGGATTGTCACTTGATGATTTCTTTCTTCCTAAATATAACTACCTCCGATCTAAGTAATTTACACTGCAAGCAGACAGAAAAGAACAGCCATAAGAAGAATTACATAAACTCTCTGAGAAAACTGAGGTTCATAAGAACCCCAAAACCTTCCAAAGGTAACTGTCTCCAAAGTATGACACTAATACAGATAGCTGATAATTTGAGACATGCAAGTCAACCCAGAAGTACAACATCATAATTATGTTATTATATATACTTTACTGGAATCTACTGATTCATCTAGTAAGTTGCAAAAACAATATAATTTCCAGAGTTCCTAAATATTTCCAATATATTGAAATTAGGGATCCAAGATTCTGAACATGCCATCACCAAAAAAAATTGCAAACCTAAAAAACAAAAAGGAAACAAATTAAACAATGTCAAAGGAAAGACTTTCTTAGAAACGGTCAATATTTACTTTTATATTTTTCAAAACATTTTAAAGTTAATACTTTTTCTCATCTTACCATTCGTATAAGCTCTTAAGTATAACATTAAATTTTATTTAAAAACAAGGCAGTTTTCACATAGCAAAATAAATATTACACTATACTCACACTCACCACCCCTATTTAATTACAGAGTATTTACCGGGTCAAAACATTTTCACATTTACAATTTGAGCCTTTTAAGCGGCATTAGTTCTGTCTTTCTTTTAAAAGTTGTCATCATGGTAACAGATATTCAGATGAATAAATAAAATTATAGATTTTGTTCTTATGCAACTCACATCTTTAGAAACTACTTTTTTAGTTGAGTAATAGTGGTTAGAGTCTTTGTGCTTCGATCACATTAACTTTAGCACATGAACTAAGAAAGATGCTCTTCAAAGCCGTTCTAACCACAAAGAGGTAGGCCTTTTTCGAAAAAGAAAAAAAAAATTTTTTTTTTTGGCAAAAGTATAGGAAATAAAAAACTCCAAAAATAAAAACATCAGTATTGTTTCTCATTAAAAATATTAATATACAAAAGTGAGCTTGTACGGACAAGTCTTAAAGACCATGCTGTTTAGACCAGCTTATTTAATTATTCCAGGGAAAATCAAGAGTTCAGAGTTCCCACTTCCAAAAGCATAAAACGACACATCAGGAGATACAGTAAAACAAAGGAACCACTGAGTGCACACTGGTTTTTCTTTTAAGAACAAGGCGAAGCTGGCCTGGGAAAGCAAAAATTTAGAGCCCACATACATAAAATCACTGCTCTTCCAGTCAACCAATGGGGCCCGGATTTCATGGCCAGCTTGTGGGTAATTTTTTCTTAGTGTATGTGAATAATTCTCCCTATCATTACAGAAAGCCACATACATGAAGAAAAAGAACACATTTTATATGTTGAGTTACTCTCAACATCTGAGACTAAGCAGTAAGAAAATACTGTTTGTAGGGAAGTAACATAGAATTACATGAGAACGGAACCTCTAGAAGAAAACATGAAAATAAAGATGACTTTTAAAAAATGATGATGTTTTCAGTTCCTTACAATTTGCCTTCTGTAGCCCCCTCCACAATGAGATGAAATTTCATTTTCTCAGCATCTCATCAATTAAATGACTGTATAATTTAGGCTAAAGATAAGTAAATCTGTGATACCGTATGTTATTAATGCTGTTAAATGTAGTAAAATAAATGAAGTAGCATAAAGAACCACTTATTTGAAATAATGGCTTAGTGTGAATCTGAATTCGAGCAAAAACCTTACTGGAATTCTATTCTTAGAGAGTTAAACACAGTAACTGCCTTATAAGCACTGCTACATCAACATATTTAACAGGACATGGTCCATCAGAATATACTTAATAACTAACAGAACACTCTCCTACACCCAAAAAAGTTTTACTATAATGTAAAAAGAAGCCATTGTATTATTTTCAACTATAAAATACATTTAAACATGTAATAATTTAAAGTTGACACAACTAACATTCTCCATAGGCATCGCATACTTTAAAAAGTAAAATAAGCAAACACGCAAATATACATAAAACATTAAAATTCGTTATCACAGAAAAATAAAAAGTTGTGGCAAGAATCCTTAGTTTCTAGTCTGAAAAACCTCCAAGTCTGGATTCCCTTTTGTCTAAGAGCAAAGTCTATTGTTTAAAAAAAAAAAATGATTTCCATCTGCAAACTCCTAATGGTTCAGGTTTTTTCATATAATAAATATTTTGTTGCTGATTAGGTAGCTCACAAGAGCTCACTTTAAAAAGCTATGTTTAAACAGCTCTAAAAGGCTGAATTAGCATTTATGATATGAACCCTCTTGTAAAACATTTGAGCCAGTTTAGGTAAGACATGTCAGTATGTTGTTTAATACCTTTGGTTTACAGCTTTAAAATGTTTTTAATCTTGAGGAGGAAGGAACTGGGTTAGAACAGACACGGAAACACATGAAGGCCTCCCTCTCGCTCTGCCATTACCATTCGGGCTGAAGTGGTTTCAGGACGAGGCGATCGCTCACCTTCTAGTCAGAAATCAGATGACCTCAAAACAACCTCATTTCAGGCTGAGGCCTCATGTCTTTCGCTTAGAGCTAAAAATAAAAATACATGTGAATGAACATATGAGCATGGAATGAAATCTCTAACACGACACTAAAATATAAAATATTAGAAGCCATTTTTATCACAGAAAAATGAAAATGTACACATTTCTACACAGAGAATCACAATACTATTTTGAATGGAGAGGTTCCCTTCTTATCCTGTTGGCCATTGGGTATCATGACAATTGAAATCCAAGTTGGTTCTACAAAGACAAAGCTAAAGTCGTATTTGATTCATTTCCTGAGATTATAAAACATTTATTTATTCACTTATTTATTTGGGACAGAGTCTCGCTCTGTTGCCCAGGCTGGAGTGCAGTGGCGCAATCTCAGCTCATTGCAGTCTCTACCTCCTGGGTTCAAGCGATTCTCCTGCCTCAACCTCCCAAGTATCTGGGATTAAAGGCCCCCCACCACCATGCCCGCTAATTTTTGTATTTTTAGTAGTGATGGGGTTCCGCCATGTTGGCCAGGCTGGTCGCAAACTCCTGACCTCAGGTGATCTGCCCGCCTCGGTCTCCCAAAGTGCTGGGATTACAGGCATGAGCCAGTGCACCCAGCCAAATATTTATTTTTATAGAGTTAAATTTAACAATATTTTAATGAAGTCGGCCACTTAGATCTTCTTTAAACATATATGCGAGGGCAAGAAAAGACAGTGTAATGCTAAACCATTAAACAACAGCCTGGCCCTCAGAAATATATTTTTGTGTATTCACAACTCTTGGTTCCTATAGCAATACTAGCAGAACACAAAAATTAACCTGTTTCTCCAACCAAAATAAGGCACTCACTCATTCAACAAATACCGAATGTTTCTAAGCACTGGAATTAAAAGCTTGGTATGACAGAACGAGTTCTAAACCTCATCAGCGAGTCTGGAGTCCTCAGCCGTCTATTTCCTAATTTGGGGTCTCAAGTCTGGGCTATGATGTTAAGGAGATTCCCCAAGAGGTAGGAGGGCAGTATGTACTAAGTGACAACAGAGTGAGGCTGCAGGATTTGAAACAAAATCCACTGAGAACCCTGAATCTCTCCACTGTCAATGGCCTCCACTCATCATGTGTCTGTCTCTTCAGTGTGAAGCTCATGCTTTCAAAATCCTACTTTAATCCTGGAAATTAATTCTCTCTCGTTTGGAAAATGCTGGTAGTTTTGGTCCCAAACGTAATGCCTCGGGCTATTTTGAAAGGTTAAGTTCACCAAGTACCTTCAAAAACCACTTATTTTAAGAGCTCTTCATTCAACTGAAGCCACAATTTAAAATTCAGAAATTCTGCTGCTAAAGTTACACTTAAAGAATTGGCCCTAGCTATACAGTAATAAAGACAAATATCTTATAAAATGTTTTACACCATTCATCTATGCCCATTAAATATTATTCATAAATCGTCACATATAGTCTACACTAACATTATTTTTCCATGTTTTGCATTTCTCTGCTGGTTCTACATATACCGATGAAATTTTTTAATTTTGTGGGAACATGATACATTACCAAAAAAATATCAAAATACATGCACCTGATTCCAATTAAGCTCCATGTTCATCTTAACCCATTTATGCCTAGTGTTCCACTATTGGAACATTAAGCTTGTGAGAGTTATTTATATCCTACTGCTCAAGGTCATCACAAAGGCCTGATTTTTCACACAAAAAAATGGCAACCTCCAGCATAAACGGGTTTATACAAGAAGAATAAATACATTTCTGAGTTGGCTTATCTTCCATAATTCTTCATGGAGTCCAACTAAATTTAATATCTTGACAAATATTACCAAGTTAAATGTTTGGACTCTCAAGTTCATAGGTCTAAAAAATACTTTAAAGTAATATACTGCAATTTATGCTTAAATATTTAGAATAAAGACCACAAGAACTGTTGGGAGTCATATCTGGGTTTTAAGCAAATCAAAAAGCTTTGAAAGTTCATTTCCCACTGATGTTTATAAGATGATTCTTAAGGTTTAGATTTTGCTGCATTCAAATTTTAATCATGGAAAACTGTTTGCTGGTCTTACGTGTAAGCAGTGAAACCCTTCCTCCTTTCCCCTGAATGTCAGAGGGCCCTGTTCTTTTTAGTTCATGGTAAGCTTCGGAGGAAACGTAACTAATTCATAGATAATTCCCTTTTTCTACTCTAAACGTGCTCATCTATGTATCCCAAATTTGTCCTGCGTCAACACAGAGAACCTGTTGGCTACCCACAGTTCAATTATTATTTTTCTTTTATTTTCCTTCCTTCCTTCCCTCCTTCCTTCCTTCCTTCATCTCTCTCTCTCTCTCTCTCTCAGACTCTCACTCTCTCTCAGACTCTTGCTCTGTCACCCAGGCTGGTGTGCAGTGGCACAATCTCAGCTCACTGCAACCTCCGCCTCCTGGGTTCTGGGGCATGCCACCACGCCCAGCTAATTTTTATATTCTTAGTAGAGATGGGGTTTCTCCATGTTGGCCAGGCTGGTCTCGAACTCCTGACACCAGGTGATCTGCCCGCCTCGGCCTCCCAAAGTGCTGGGACTACAGGCATGAGCCACCATGCCTTGACTATTTGCTATCATTCTTTGGAAAGAACTAACAGCAGCTGAGAGGCTTCATTCTGCCCCCCTAACTTAGATGTTCCCCTTATCTCTCCTAACCTCATCCATGCTGCAGTCACAGCTGCATTTCTCCCTTTTTGCTTCAACCACTTTACGTTTTGTAATACAAGTTACAGTCCACAACAACTGTGACTGTCCTAATTCCACAACTTTCACTATTTCCACTTTAGTCTAGGCCTTTGATGGTAAAATAAGGAGACTGAATCTTCAGAGGTATATTTCAGCTTACTAACTATACACTCAGTCTTTATAGTTTTACTACTCAGAAAACTCCATCCATCACTTCAGTAATATTATACTGTCTCCTATTTCATCATTTCATCATTGATGATGATCCCAATTTATTATCAATAGGATTGAGGAATTCTAGTGAGTTACAAATTTAGACCAATTATAGAGTCAAACTTCTAGAAAAACAATTGCTATTTAAGAACATTCAATGTCAAAGACATTTTCCTGAAAAAGTGTTTCCTTAGTTTAGACTGAATCTTTTTTGCAGAAAAGGTTAAGCCCTATGATACGCTAGGGGTGAACCTGCAACCTGAACACTCCAGTCCCCTCTTAGAAGTTTGCCATCTGCCCCTGGCACTTGACAGATTCTAAGATTTCCTGCTTGACACATAATCCAGCAAAAACCAACAGCATTCTTCATTTCTGTGGGAATCCTGCAACTTCACATACGCAGTTTGGACTCTAAACACAATACATTTACCAGTCAGAAAATCCCAAACTGATGGATTCCACTGCAAGAAAACAGAATGTCCAAATGGCGGTGTGGAGATAGCGGCTGACCATCTGGGAAACTTAAGACTGCATCTCTATCGTCAGTCCTTACACCAAAAGAAATTCCAGAAATATCACATTTAAACTGAAAATGTGAAACCATTAAGAATGGTTGAAGAAAATATGGCTGAAATTTTTAAAAATACATTTTAAGGTACATGAGGACTTTCATTATGACATAAATCCTAGAAGCCAAAAAAGTACACAGCTGATTAAAAAGTAGCCAAAAAAACCCCCACTTATAAACAATATAAACTGAAAAAAAAACATTTGTAGTAAGTATTAATAAGGATAAAGTACTTATAAATTGCTAAGAAAAAACCCCATGAAAAATGTGTCACAATTACAAACAAGTCAAGGAAAACAAGACCAGTAAGTATATAAAAATATCTTCAAACCCACTCAAAAGCAATATAAACCCAAATGAGATGCTAACAGGTTAACAGTGTCATTACTATGAGTGTGGGGGATCAGGCACCCAAACAGACGGTTAGGAGAGGTAGACACTAGCACCAACTTTCTGAAGAACAACGACGTTATTTACCAGAATGTTAAAATCCGCACACTCTTGAACCAGAAATTTAACTTCTGGGATTAGATCCTTATCACTTCTCACATGTAAGCAAAAATATTTGTATGAGGAGATTGTTTATAACTACACTACAGTAGTACTATTAATATAATAAAAATGAAAGAAAAAAATCTGCAAAACAGGCCCAATGTCTATCAAGGAAGCTGGTTTGACAAAAATGTTACCTTTCATGTAGCCAGGGAAAAGTGTCCTAGATATATTATTAAGTACATAAATGATGTTGCTAAACAGATATACAATGCCATTCATTTCAAAAGTACTATTTCTTAAAACAAGTTCAATAGACAAGAAGAAGGAGGCGTGAGGAAACACAGGAGGGTTGCCCAAGAGCCTGCCAGGCACAGCAGAATGGGGGAAAGAGCTTTTTGCTTGTCACTTTATCCGTCTACAGAATTTCTCAACCATGAACAATTATTCATTTGATAACAAAAACGTTTTTCCAGGATGCTTTGTTATTTCAGCATTTCAAAATTCTATGGATTGAGTTTCTCAAAACGGAAGGAGATTGAGAACTGTGAGTCAGGTCTATCAGGAGTCACTTTGTGAATGCTGGGATTCATTGGTGGCCAGAAGCAGAGGTGCTGGGATAGCACACAGGGTGGGGACTGCCAGTCGGCGTGAGCTCTGTGCTTTTCTCACTTGGTCACTGCTTGCCTCTCCGAGGCCTGTCCTTCTGCACACGTCGTCTTGCAAAGTACACTTGCATGCAAAGTGCATGTTCACTCCTGACTCCTGTAAATGAGGCATGCCCCAAGGTCTGGTGTTTGCTCTTAAGGATTTAATGGGATATTCAATATTCAGTAGCGCAGAGTGTGCCACAAAGTGAATGATAATCAATTGTTTTTCATATCTTCCATCCCAGAGACAAGGCCAATCCCGTTGAACTGCTGTTCCACAGACTCTTTCAATGCACGGTCTTGCCTTTTTATGAGACACCCACTATTACAGACAGAAGACATTAAACCAGTCAGGCTGCCCAGTAAAACACCCCTGAAGATCAGTCTCCAGGAAGGAGGCAAAGCAGAATGTGCTACCAAACTATTATTTGTCCATTTTACTTTACAGATCTCATATTTGCTCCAAATCAACACTAACCAGAGATAGAATTATTTAGTTATACAGCTGAACCATTCAGCAGGACAGGAGGCATATTCACACCAGCATAGCTGTCAAAGGCCCCTCCACCCGCCCAAAATGACAGCAGTCTCGTCTCACAACTACAGTTTCATTTCCGACTACGATCCATGATCGGTGCGCAACCACTGGCAGATATAAGATTTTGACATTTTTTTCCATTGGCACTTTTATTTAGAAAATACGATATTCTTGAGATATCAGGCCACTATAATTGGTAAATAATGTTCTTTAAAAAGTTAGTGCCAGTTT